TTTCCAAGGAGGGAAGAGTGTCAAATAATTTGTGGGCATATTTTTAACCATTGCACTCCTACAAGCACGGGATCCTCCTCTCACAGCTTCTAGAACATTATTCCCCCGGGACTACCTTCCCTGATGGGTCCTTGGCCACCCTGGCCCCATCAGATCTTTTAGGTTGAAGTTAGAAATGCCTTCCTCCCATTCCTCTGGGATGGTGAGTCCCACCTCCTTCAGCTGCTGGACGGCACCTGGGTTCTGGTCTGGACTCTGCTATTGTGTGACCTTGGGCAGGTCACTTCATTTCTCTGGCCTCCATGGCCTTCTCTGCAAAGTAGGAATTAGGCACAACCTCACTTTATAAGTTGTTAGGATTTTAAAAGATAATGTAAATAGCAGATTTAGCATAGCCAATGCTCCTGTTTATGAAAGACATAACTGTGGGCAAGTCATTTCCCTCTTGGAGACTTGATTTCTGAAATGGAGATAATTCTCTTAATCCAATTCCCCCATGTGGATGCGAGGGGGCTCTTAAATGGACTAGAGGGAGGGCCAGCCCCCCCAGCTGAGGCTTCCTGATCCTAATCTGGCCAGGAAGCCCCCTGCATCTATGCCCTTCTGGGGCCCCACGCCATGTGCGTGCGAGGTGGCCAGGGTGTGGCTTGGGGCGGTACAGCGCACAGGGCGGGCCACTATCTGCCCCGCCGGCCTTATCAGATCCGGGCTGGCCACAACTCAGCCCCATGGAACAAAGAGGCTTTGAGAACCAGGCTGGGGTGTGGGACGTGGGGCCAAGCCCCATCAGGCACATTCCACCCAGGGGGCAGAGGGCACGGGGTGGGGGAGATGCTGCGGCCAATCCCAACCAGAGAGGTTTCTCCAGGGTGGGGGCATCCTCTCAGGTGGGGAGCAGGGCCTGTGCCCTCCCCCAAGGGCCACCATTCTGGCTTGTTTGGGGGCATTTCCTCTCCAGCCCTTCCTACCAGGCCCACAGCTCTGCCCCTTCCATGGGGCACAGCATCCCCCTACCCCCAGCCCAGCTCCCGTTTCCTCTCCCTGTACCTTTAGCTCCAACGGCACCAGTCCCAGTTCCTGAGCATGCCCTGCATTCCTCTGCACATCTGCTTCCAATAATGTGTCCACCTACCCTTGCCCCAGTCACTCAGCCTAGAAGGCAGCAGCCCAAAACCACTTGCAGGAAGTCCCCAGACATTGGGGTCATTGAGCTCATCCTGTCCCCGCCTCTGTCTAATCGCTCTGCGCTTCCTCCCATGTGACACTGTAGGGAATTTCTCTCCAAACTTTAATCACAAGCCTCGATCTGCTGAGCCTGGCAGAATCAGGGGCTAGAGTTAAGGCTGTGCAAGTTGTACATTACATACGGGCTCTAGGCTGGGCAGGTAAGCAGGCCTGCAATCCAGGTGTGCTGATACCCCAGTGTGCCTCCTGCGCTAGGCTCTCTCCTACACAGGCTTGCTGGCACCAGACCAGAAGAGTTGCCTTTTCTAGTTGGATCATTTTGCAGGGCAGGGAGGGGGGCTTTGCTCAATTTTTTGGTGGAGGGGCTCCCACTTCCAGTTCCCACACTGGGGCTGCCAGTCCTAGCAGCAGGCCTGATTGCCTAAAGGATTGATTCATTCAGCTCGGCCATTCCCAGCACAGCAGACTGTCAGAAACCATCCCCAGGGCAGCATCTTCAGGTGAGTGCAGTCCTACAGCTTCGGAAGAGCCATCCCTAGGGGCACTGGGTCTTTCTAAACCAGAGAGGAGGCTGCAAGGACAGCGCAGGGATGGGTACCTGAAGGAGTGCCTCTGCATGGATAAGTAGGAGAGCCAGGGTTGAGGGGCAGTCCATCCAGGCAGCTCCATAGGCCTCCCAGCCAGATTCCCCACTTTGTCTCCTGTTCCCCCACACTCCAGGTCTCCCTATCTCCAGTTCTCCTGGAGGACTTGTACACTAGGTACAGGTGTTGCATTTCACCTGGACTGGGCTGCAAGGGGCTACTCTGAATCTCCTCCCCATGTATTCTCGATGGGGCAGGCAGCAGAAGGAGAAAGCAGGAGCCTGTAGGGTGCCTGGAACCCAGGTAGACCAGCCTTGGGCAATGAGGAGAGAGGATATCTATATGGGAAAACCCTGGATGTCTCACCGACAGGTGCAGACTCTAAGGCCAGAAAAGAGCCATGGCCAAGGGCTCTGGGCATAGGGGAGCTAGGTCTCATGCTTAAACACCTGAATTGATTCAAACCCTTTCCTCAACCTCACTACTCACCTAAACTGGCTTCAAGTCCTGGCCATTCTACTCCTAAACATCTACAGTCCATCGCCTTCTTTCTGACCCCATGGATACCTCTTCAGTCCAGGCCACCAGCTTCTCTCTCCAGTAAATGGACCCCTTGCTTCTACAGCTGCCTTGTCTGATTCATCCTCCACACTGCAGCTGGGCGAGCTTTCTAAAACAATCCAGTGGCGAACTTTCCTGACTTCAAACCCTTCAGGCCCTCCCCACAGGCCCCCAGGCTCAAGTCCAAATGTGTGGCCACATAGCTTTGTGATGCTGACCTGGCAGGTCTTCCGAGCCCCTAGGCTCACTCGAGCCCTCCGTTTTGCACTTACTGTGTTCTCAGACTAGATCCCTTCCTTTACTTACCTGCCATGCAAAGCCCTCCTTGCCCTACCTGTAGCATCCTCACCTCCAGGAAGCCTTCCTAGCTCCCAGTCTCTCCATGGGACTCCATAGTCCCTGTGAGCTGTCAGCCACAGCACTCAGCACACAGCATAGACACGTCTCCCCAGACTGCTTCCTACCACCCAAAAGAGGGGACTAAACGCTTTCCCTCACTCTGGCACAGGACCTAACACAAGAGTATCCAGTGAATGATGACCAGACAGATGAATGCAGGTTACAATTGTGGACACAGCAGCCTTGGGGGTTGCACTTGACCCTGAGAGGAGAGGCAGGCATTGGATCAGTAGCTGCCTGAGCAGCATGGTTGATCCTCCTCTGGGCCTTGGCATTACAGACACTGGGGCAAGATGGCTTTTGATGGGGGTGATTGCAGCCATTATACTGTCGCCGCAGGAGATGACTTCCCAAGCTGTCTCCCTATGTCTCCCCACTCACATAATCTGTTCATATCTGGTCCCAGGATTCCCAGAAAAGCTGTAGAGCCCCACCTCCACCTTAAAGTTGGTTTTTGAGGGTCTGAATTCAGATAAGTTTTTTTCTGAATCTTTGCAGCCTTCTCTATCTGAAGAATGGCTGTGTTTCTGGACAAAGCCCATCTAGAACAGAAAGGTTGCGGACACCAAATGGCTCTGTGTCTGCAGGATGGAGTGTGCTCAGGCCCAGTGGGAGGGGCAGCTGGACCCCACAGGAGAAAGCCTCTCTCTCTTCCTGCCTCTCCCCTCCCTCCTTCCTCCCACCTTCTGTCTCTCCCCAACCCCCATAAAGAATGTCTATCAGGGAGAGAATTGTACAAGTGAATGGACAAGAGTATCTTGACCTTGATAGTCTGTTTTTCACTGTCAATGAGTTCATGGACATTCTGGTCCCTGGGAGCCTGGTCCATGGGTGTTTGCCATGAGTCCGCTCTAGATGTGCTGACAAAACTGACTTCCAGCCTGAAATGCTGAGAGTGCCTTCCAGAGAGGACCCAAGTTTACCAAGGGAAAAGCCTTGTGGTCAAAACAGTGGGCCCAATGGCAAGATGCATGGATTCAAATCCTGCTTCTGTCACTTGCTGTGTCATCTCAGGCAAGTTACTTAACCTCCTCGTGCTTCTGTGCTCTTCTGGAACATAGTAATATGAAGACATACACCACCTAGGGTTGTTACCAGAATTAAATGGTTTCATATAAAGCCCTTAGAAAATATGTGGTGATGGTTAGTCTTTGGTGATCAACAGTTGTCGTTATAGCCTGTGGGGGGCTATTTCCTCCCAAATGACACAGTCTCAATGACCAAATGACTCCCAAATGAAACACTCAATGAAGTGTTTCTCTGGAGTCTTCCTCTGTGGAAGTGGGAGAAGGGTGAAGTAAGAGTCTGAGCAGCCATCCCTAACTTAGTGATCTCTGTAAGAGGATAGAACCTGGACAGTGGTGTGTTTTAGCAACTGCCTCTCCATGGTCAGGGGAACTCTACTTTGCAGCATATATCAGTTTCCGTGGTATGAATGAATTACCCACCATGGCCTATTTCAACCGGCTTACTAACTGGCTGGCAATTTAACAAGTGTACCCTGGACCTGGGAATCTCAGCTGATCTCTAGTGAGATGAGCTCAGAAAAACCTGCCTTGGGATAGAGAGACCAAGAGAAAATGAAGAAAAGTGTCACTTTGGCAACAAACTGGGCTTCTCTAGACTAAGCAGTTTCTCAAAATGTGGTCCGTGGACCATCTGCCATGTTTGGTGTCTTCATAAAAATAAGCTCCTGGGCCTCACTCCGGAGCTTGTATTAAAGCAGAATTGTTTGAGTGGGGCCAGGAATCATTTTTAAACAAGCTGCCCAGGTGATTCCAAGGTTTGAGAACTGCTAGGTTAGAGACTCCTGAGTTATCCAAGAAGTCAGAGGGGCCAGGAGGCAGATGTGAATTCTACATAGTCTTTTCATACTATGGTCCATTATTCACACCAAAAGATGAGAAACCCAGGCCTTGACTAGGCACAGTGAGGCAGTTCGAGATGAATAAGGTGACCATGGGCTAGTTACTTCAGTTCTTGCTCTGGTCCGATAGTGTTTAGGGCAAACTTTGAGGTCAGCATGTGAAAGCCTTGCCTGATATAGCGCCCAGCTGTTTATGGGGACTTTGCTGGGCTGCTAGGTGAGGAGGGCCTGCAGAGAGGGTGGGAGCATGGGAGCTTTTGTCCTTGGAGGAAGGTGACCCACCCCTGGAGAGACCTCCCCAGGGCTCCAGACTGTGTACTGGCCCCGTTCAGCATCCTAGATTCTATGGCTCTAACAACTTAAATAATTTTTATTACAAAAGGAAGTAAAGACCAAAACGTCCCCAAAATTCTCCCATGGGCTTCCCCCTCCGCGCCAATAAATAAGGTGGGGGAGACTGACCGGAGGGGGTTAGGGGGTCACGGTTCAGCAGAAGAAGGAGCTTAGCCTGGGCCGGGGCAGGAGGACATCCAGCCCACTCCCCTGGTCCCGGGTACTATGATCACATTGACTGGAACACAGAACTCTGCCCACTGACAGCAACAGTCTCTGGATGTGTCCCAAGGAGTGTGGCCAGGGAGGAAGGTCATGCCTCAGGATGGCCAGGCTGGCTGTCCCACCCTGCGGCCTTCTCAGTTCTGGGCAGCAGGCGTTGAGTCCAGCCAGCTCCCTGCTGGCACCCAGGGAATCTAGCAGCATCGACTGAGGTGTAAGCCCACCTAAGAGGGGCCTAAGACAGATGGAATGGGCCCTCCCCACTGGGGGAGGCAGGTATGAAAAATTAAAGTGAGACCTGGCTGGGTTGGCCCCATGGTGCCAGCCTCGAGGTCTTTAGAATAGGATAGACCAGCCCCTCCCAACCAGCTTAGCTTACAGCTCTGTCACTATATTGAGTTGGGGTGGTCGACGCTGGCATGGCCCGGTCAAGTTGCAATGGTGTGTCTCTGTGAAAGAGGAGATGGTGGGAACCCTGCCCCCCAACTCAGATCCCTTCCAGGACTAGTGCCCTCCTGGCAAGGAGGACTTTGGACCAAATTAGGCAGTTGCAGGAGGGCAGCGAAGGAGTCTTTTCAGCTCCCTGGCCCGGCCATGCCCAGCGAGTGGAAGCTGCCCTCTTCCAACAAGAGCCGTCCCAGGCGGTAGAGCAGCTGGGGGTACCAGTGCACGCCCTCTCCCGGGGTCCAGCTGCCCCACGCCAAGCTGTGAAACAGTCGCAAGGGCCAAAAGGCCAACTGAGCCAGACGGTGGTCAGCCACAGCCGCAAAGCAGGAAGCCACCACATCCTCCACCACCAGTGTCCCGTGCCTTGTTAGTGGGGCGTAGGCTCCAAGGGCCACATGTGTGGAGACAGCTGCCACTCGGGCAGGCTGCAGGCCTGGCACCCCAGCCACCAGCACATACTGGCCAGGCTGTACTTGGCTGGCAAACGTGGCCCGGAAGTGGGCTGCTGGTTCTGTGTGGTTGTTGGAGGTGAAGAGCAGGTGGGCGGGCGTGAGTGCCAGGCGGCGCGGGGGGTCCTGGGTCTCGATGACCTGGAAGGCCCTCATCCTGTCTGGCTCGCGATCCAGGAAAATGAGCACGTCGCTGAAGGTGGGGTTCCCATCCTCCCCCATGGCCAGCACCCGGTCTCCAGGCCTCACGGCTGACAAGGCCACACGTGCCCCACTCTCCAGGCGCACCTGGGCTCCAGCAGGAAAGCAGCCACCTGTCTTGGCCGCAGCTGAGTGCTCTGTGGGAAGAAGGGACATGAAGGTGTTACTATTGTGTCACAGCACCCCTCCCCAGAGCTCCTCGTGCTCCTGGAGAGCCCCCATCACCGTATCCTGACTCTGCTCTGCACCTCCTCCCCACTGTCCCATGAAGCCTTGAACCCACTCCCCACCACCCAGTCTAATCCTTTGCCAGTGAGAGGAGCGTATTGTGGCACCAAGACCTAGGAGTGAAAGGAAAGGGCCCTTCTGAAGGTCAGGTGAAGCCCCCGTCAGCTCTCAATCCTGACAGTGCTGTGAAGCAGCCAGAGAGGCCAGGGATCAGCTGAGCCACACGGTGGTCAGCTGTGACTCAGCTGCAGTCTCGTGGAGAAAACACTCAGCTCCTCTGGGGTCTGGATGTCCCATGATTTCTCACTCCTTGCTCAGGCACTCCCCAAAAATTGCCCTCTCAGACGGACTCCCCAAGTTCTGTGCCACAGCTGGCCCTTGGAGTCCATAGAGAAGAGAGAGAGCCTCAGAGTGAATGGTCAGATCAGGGCATGGCTCAGTGGCAAGGGTAAAATCACTATCTTCGGTTCATGTGCTGGGTTCTTGTATGAGGACAGGACACAGGGGCATTGGGGAGTGGGGTGGAGAGCAGTGTTGGGGGCAGGAATAATGACAGAGGTGGCCACGTGGGGAGCTGCCACCAGGCCAGTGTTCGCCGGTGAAAGGTGGACGTGTCTTGAAGTAGATACAAGTGGCAGGAAAGTGCTGGAGGGGAGGGTGGAGACGGGGTCCCCACTGTGTGCCCAGGTGGGTTTGGGAATCGTTAGCAATGGGCCTGGTCTCAGTGTGCCAGCTCTTCAAGTGTGATTACTGCCTGGTGCCAGCGTGGAGGGCTATGCCCGCAGCCAGGTGGGGCCAGACGGGCAGTCACGCAGGAACCATTTGAAGCATCCATGACTGAGTTCAGTGTAGGTGACAGAGACGCTGACAAGATCCGAGGGAGGGGCAGGGCCCCAGCGCCTGCCCATTCAGATCAACAAGGCGGCTAATCTGGGAAAATCCATTTTATTGAGTCCACTCTTTATTCTGGCCCTCGTCGCTGGCTTTGCCCCAAAATGTCCAGCTTCAGGGCCCTGAGGGAGAGGTTGGGGACGCCTGCACCCCCAGAGGAGCATACAAAGTGCCCTAAAGGGGCTGACCTGCAGCAGGGCTCTGGGCTCTGAATCTCTGGGCTCCTGGCTCCTTCTGAGGCCACTGCTGGTGTCTGGGCACACCCTGGCCCCTGGCCCCTGGTCCCGCCACCAGCCTCCATTCTGAGTCAGCTGAGTGGGGAGGCCATCTCTGTCACAGCCTGGCTTCCATCTGTCCAGCTCGCTCTGTCTTGCACCTCCTGTGGCAGGCTCTGGACTGTGGACCGCAAGGTCGACCCCCAGCCGCGCCGGGAGAGGGCCCTGTCTCCCTAGGCTCCTGCCATGAGCGCTACCAGACACGGGATGAGCAGGTGGTCACAAGCAGCAGCGGGGAGCGCCGGGGACGTCCTCTTCCCTGGGGTCCCCTCCTCCATCCCCTGGCCGGCCTCTTCACCTTCCTGGCAGCGGTGAGCCCTGTGCCTGCCCACGCCCTGCGGCCCCGGCCCCTGGCCCAGCCCCCAGGCAGCGGCTCACCAGACTTGACGGAGCAATGCACGTGGGCCTTGGACTCGTAATACACCCAGTCGAAGCCGGCCTCCACTGCCAAGCGCGCCAGCAGTCCGTACTTGTTGCGGTCGCGGTCCGAAGTGGTAATGTCCACCGCTCGGCCCTCGTAGTGCAGCGACTCCTCTGAGTGGTGACCGTCCTCGTCCCAGCCTTCGGTCACTCGCAGCTTCACGCCAGGCCACTGGTTCATCACTGAGATGGCCAGAGAGTTCAGGCGGTCCTTGCAGCGCTGTGAGAGGAAGGCGCGTGGAGTTAGGGGGGGATGCTGGCCGCGTGTGGGTGGAGGCACAGCCTCGCCGGCCTCTCCCAGGGCATCCGCTGGAGTTGGGAAACCAGGGAGGGTGCTCTGCTCCCATCTCCTAGGAACAAAGAGCCCTAACTTGCTTCCTCGCTTTCTAGCATCTGGCTGTTCCAGGGACCTGGACCGCATGGTGGCGCCACAAATCTGGAGGGCGCAAAGGGGAGGTGCACCCTTGGGCGACCTTCTCCGATAAGCGGCCCCTCCCTCCGGCGCGCTCTCTCCTCAGACCCAGGTACTGATCCCTCCACAGACGGGGCTACACTTTTCCAGTGCCCAGTCCCTCCGTCCCACCGTGGCAAGGGAGCCCCGAAACCGCCCTCCGCCCGCAGGGTGGGAGGGGTAGCGGAGCCGACTGCCTGTGGCGGGCCTGCTAGGCGTGCAAGGCCGAAGGTGCCCAGTAGGTGTCACCGTAGCCTCAGGGCTGAAGCCCCCCGACCCGGGTGCCCGCGGGCCGGCAGGTGCAGAGCTCCCCAGGAGCGCGGGGGTGTGTTGGGGGGAAATCCTGGGCGGCGGGGATCTCTCGAGAGCCACAGAGTTTTCCTGCTGGGACTTAAGATCCCAAAGTGTCCTGCAACCTATCCGAGGATGCGGAAGCCCGGGAACCTGAAGCTGGTGGAAACGTTAGCGCCTAGCCTGGCCAGAGGGTGGGGACGCAGAGCGCCTCCAGCTGCACCGGGCGCACCGGGCGATGATAATCCCAGGCAGCGTTTTCCCTAGTCCAGAGCCTCCAGCACCTGTGCGCCGCCCCTATCAGGGAAGGGACCCCAGAAACCCAGCCTCTGATCTCAGCGAGCCAGCTGCACGCCCTGGCCCACGTGGGGGTGGGAGTAGAGCCGCCCCTGGGGGAAGGACGGGAGAGCTCCACCGTCTGTGATGACTCCCCACCGGCCTGCAGCCCAAAAGACCCTGCAGTTGACCGGGGCAGGGCGAGCGGGAGAGGGGGCCCTTTCACAGTCCTCAACTCAGGTGTGAGGCTCCGCCTACCCCCCCACCTCGGGGAGCCCGGCCCCACAGACCCTTGGACTCGGGACTCCCGGGAACCAACGACGGCTACAGCCCAAGGCCTGGCCGGCCTCCGGGAGCAGCCTCGCTGAGGGCGCTCACGGCCCAGGGAGGGAGCTCCGCGTGCTCCTTGCCTCCAGGCTTCAAGCACCCAAGTACCGCGGCCCCGCGGGCCCCTGCTCCCCGCCCCTCTCCCCCTCCCCCGGGTCCAGAGCCGGGGCGCGCGCTGTCAATGATTGCCCAGCCCGTGGCCCGGATCCTTATCTGCATTCCTCGGCGCCCGGCCCGGCCCGGCCACCAGCCAACCTTCGGCCCCGACACCGGCCGGCCAGCCCCGGCGCCAGGGCGCAGGCTGAGAGCTGTGGTGGAGCCGCTCTTCCCAAAGCACCTAGGGAGCGCGCTGCCTGCCTGCGGGGGAAGCCCCGGGAGACCCCTGAGGAAGGGGACCGTAGGTTTCCGATTCCCTGGGACCCCCACGCGGAGAAGAAAGTTTGCTCCCCAGTGCGTGGGCTTGAGCCGGTCCCGTTGGGAGCTTGCCGAAACTGGCTAGCCTTAGCTCTGCTCCCTGCCTCTCCCGGAAGGCATCCTGGCGCTCCTTTTTCAACCCTCCCGTCCCCGCCACCAAGCCCAGGGATCCCCCAAGTTCAGTCCCAGATCCCGAAGTTCCCGGCACCCCACCCTTAACCGCAGCTGAGCCGCGCGGCCCCCGGGACAGACACGTGGGCTCGCCGGGCAAATTCCCTTTCCCACCGCCTCCCGGCCCCTCTTCCCGCGGTCCCCAACCCCGGACCCAGGGGACACGCGACTCCAGGAGGGGCAGCGCAGCAGACGGGGAGCGCGCGGGGAGGAAAGGCCCTGTGCGCCCGCAGCTTCCTCGCCTCTGGGGTGCCGAAGGGCTTCGGGCTTCGCAAGGAGAGGGGCGCAGCGGTGCGGAAGGTTGGGCCAGCAGGGACTGCGTGGGTCCCGGAGGCGCAGGAGGCGGCCGGGTCGAGGTACCTCCGGGGCCGGCCCTCCGGGGCACAGGGGCTGCCGCCACCCGGCCGGCCGGGGCGCTCGGCAGCGGGGAGCTCTTCTCACGGCCTCCGCGGGTTCGCGGCTGTCCGCGCTGCCGCCGGGACCCCTGGGCGGCCCATCCCGGGCAGCAGGCGGCTGGGCTTGGCGAGAGGGGCAGGTGCCAGGGGGCGTGCCGGCCGGTCGAGAAAAGGTGCCAGGGGGGCGGGGAGGGCCGGGCAGGTGGCGGTGCTTCGGCGGCGGCGGCGGCGCCCTGCGAGGGCGGGTCGCGCTCACCTGGGTCATGAGGCGGTCGGCGCCCGTGTTCTCCTCGTCCTTGAAGATGATGTCGGGATTGTAGTTGGGGGTGAGCTCCTTGAAGCGCTCCGAGCTGCGCGCGATCTTGCCTTCGTAGCGCCCGCTGGCGCCCAGGGTCTTCTCGGGCACGTTGGGGCTGAACTGCTTGTAGGCGAGCGGCACGAGCTTGCGCGGCGGCCGCCGGCGGCTGCCCACCACCCGGCCCGGCCCGCAGCCCCGCGCCGCCGGCACCAGCAGCAGCAGCAGCAGCAGCAGCAGCAGCAGCAGCGGGCAGAAGCGCAGCCGGGGCCGGGGCCGGAGCCGGGCGGGAGACATGGCCGGGGAGCCCGGGCGGGCGGCGGGCGAGGGCGCCTGGGGGGCCGGTGGGTGGGCGAGGCGACGCGAGCGCTGCGGGGGCTCAGGCGTCCGGGTGGCTCCGGGGGGCTCCGGGCGGGGGCGCCATGGGCTGCGCGGCGCGGCGCGGGGCCGGCGGGACTCAGGTGCGGGGCGGGGGCCCGGGGCCCTGGCGGGTGGCGGCGCGCTGTCCCCCTCGGCGCCTCGACTCTGAGCTGCCCGGCTCGCCCGCCGCCAATAAATAGGCCGGCCCGTTTGTTTTGGCAACGCGGCGGCGGCGGGGGGCGGCGGGCGGCGGGGCTGCGGGCCGCCGGGCTGGGCTGGGCTGGCCGGGCCGGCGGGCTGGCGGGCCCCGCGGTTAGCACCCCGGCCCGGCGGTCAGGCGGCTCGGGCGGAGCGGGAGCTGCTGCCGTCTGCGGCGCAGCCCGGGGCCGAGTGAGAGGGGAAATGGAAGAGATCCGGGCTCGGGCCCCGCGCAGACCGCACCCTACCCATGTCCCTGCCTCCTGTGCGCTCGACAGCGAACCTGCAGCAAGGGCGGCACAGCCTCCTCCCCCTCGGGCGGGCGGGCGGCCCCGGCACCAGCCAGCCCTCGTCCCGCTCGCTCCTCCGCCGTCCGCCCGCCCGCTGCCCTCGGCGCCCCCTGCGCTGCCCGAGTGCGCCCTCCCCGCCCGGACGCGCCCCACCCCGCCTGGGCCTCGCCTCTGGGCTCCCCGCGGCTCCGGGGTGCCCCGCCAGGCGCAAACCTCCGGGACAGGAGCTGCCACCCCCACAGAGACCGCAACCCACGGCGCGGCCGGACGCGAGGGGCGGGGGGCAGTGGCCGGACCGCACCGCCGCCTACGGTGTCCCCTGCGGGGAAGTAAAGCCAAGAGGCGGGAGGCCGCTCCTAACCTGGCGCCCCACCCTGGCCCTGGAGACGCGCCCTCTCGGCTCGGCTCGGTGGACTGAATTCTCTACCAGCCCGGTGCACATCCCACGGCCGCAGGGTGGGAAGCTGGGAGTGGGGCGTCCAGCCTCACCCAAGAGCCCGATAGGGGGTTTTGAGTTGGAAACACCATTAAAGCGAGCAAAATGAAGTTGCAAAGGGATGGGCCAAGGTGTAGAGAAGAGCAGCTAAATGGTGACGTCAACAGAATGCTGGAGGAACTGACCCCGGCGGAGGCGACAGGGGCTTGCTAAGGGCCGCACCAACGACTCAGAGCTGTTGGCACGCAGGACAATTACTCTCTTAATTCCACTTTATAAATTAAAAAGGAGAGAGGCTATGCAGAGGCAGCCAGAGAAGTGAACATGGATTGTGTACGTATTTCAATATGTCATTCGAGAAAGCTGAATGAATTCGGGTTTATTCTGCTAAAACAAGAAAAGGCGAGTATGTTAAAAACAAATGCCACCATCACAACAAATGATATGATTTGGTTGCAATCTGTCCTACAGTTTCAGTAGAAGTAGGAATAAAAAGGTTAAGAGGTTCTCATTCCAAGAATACTAACACGCTAAGTACCCTTTTACTGCTACGTGCCATATACACAGAAGCTATTAGATATTATTATACTAAGTATTCTACTTGCGTTGTCTCATTTAAACTCACAACCCCAAACAAGCTATTATTATTATTCCCAGTTTTCAAATGAAGGTTTTGAAGTTCAGAGATGATACATAACTAGCTTCTGGCGGGGGACCAGAGAGGAATTCAAATCCTCTACCTTTATCCGCCCCCTGGGGTCTGATCCCAGAGCCCCAGTCATCCCCCCACCCCACCCCCGCACGTGCACAGGCTTCTATGTCTTGCGGAGCCACTACAGCCAGGGTTTTGGATGGTGGTGAACTTTTCACGGATCTACTCACATTTTCTCTGGATCGATTTTGTGGACGAAGTTCAGAATTGAAGGGGACTCGAGAGAGTGCCTAATCCAAGCACTTCATTTACAGAGAAGGAAACTGAGGCCCACAGAAGGGAAGTTAGGATGACATCACCAGGAATAGAGTGGCATGTCAACTTGGATACAGAATGGACTGTTTCTTTTCCTTCCCTTTTTGCCCCATGTTCCCCACACTGGGTTTCTTCCTTCCCTTGTATTTGGATTCTGTCTCCCAGTCTCAGATCACTCTGACATTGTTTCTTTTCCTCAAAAGTTCTCAAAGAGCTTCCAGGAACGTTTTTTGGGGTTCAAAAACTATCCCTGCAATATTACCCACCCGCCTCCCTCTCTCCTGCTCAGATTTCTGGGGGCAGACTACTCAGCCAGGTCAGTACCTCTCTCAATCCAGACAAACAGGGGCCCTCTTTTTCTGGAGCTCTAAAGAAGACAATCCCATAGGATCCCAGGGTCACCTGTCCCAATGTGTTATGTAATAATTTTCTACAGAAACTTTGCCTTAAGTTCAGTGTCTCTTTCTTCCTCCCTCTCTAATGCAAATTCAACTCCTTTCCCTTTTTTCTGGCTTTAGAGATTAGGGCCATTATCCCACTTGCTATCCCATAGGCACAGTCTCAAAGAGTTGTTAAATTCACTTTCAACCTTCTTTTCTCCAAGTAAAAGACAATTTAAGATTCTCTTAGAGGCTCTAACTTATATCTGTCTGTTGACTTTGCCATTCTTCCTGTCACTTCTCTTCTGAAACTGGGACCCTGTTGAATACAAAGCTCTGGTAAAGATCTGATCCAGTGTCAAATAAGCACTACACAGTGCTGAGGCAGCTTGGCATCTGGGGGTGCTCCGACAGCAGCGAAAGCAGCGTAACCTCTGTGGTTGAGATTGGGCTCCACCGAGTCTCACCCCTCCTCCAGCGGCCTGGCTAACTTAGGATGGGGATCAGGTTGTGTATTGGGAGAAGCAGATGGGGGGAGGGGGCTAACATTCATCAAGTCTTTTCTCCATGACACTTACCTTAAGCACTTAGTCAAATCTCCACAATCTCCCCTGCCCTCTGTGCTGTTATTCTCATTCTACAAATCTATAATTCTAAGGCTCTCAGAGTGAAGTAGTTTGTCTGTGATCCCACAGTCAAGTTTTGAACCCTGGAGCTTCTCCACTCCAAACTGAGCACTTTTTTCTCAAGACACAGTGGTGGTGGTTCAAGATCTGAGTGTCAAATTTGGATCTGCATCAGTCTAGTAGCATTCAGTGGAGGGAGGGAGAGAAGAGAGCGGAGAGTGGAAGCATCGTAATTTCCATGGTAGTGATCCTGGAGCACTTTAAATCTGAATTGGGGCCTAAGAACCTTGGAGACGTTTCTTGGTTCCCTATGTTTTTAGCTGCTCAGTAGATGTAGGGTAGCTTTTGAATGGGGCTAATCCATGAGAGGTGGCAAACGAAGCCTGTTTCTTTTTCTGGTCACTGCCAGGCTCCTGCCGGTGGTAAAACTAGAGAACCAAAGTGTGCCACTCTGGGACCACCGATGGCCTGGAGTTTGATCAGCAGCAACAGAGCCTGATCAGGACACCTCACATCTGAGTCCTGGGCCTATTGGTAAAATCACTTGTCTTCTCCCACCTTTAGACCACTTTTACTCCTCACTCATCTGGATTTTGGACAAAGTGAAATCTATTTCCTTGGATACTATGATTCATTTTTTGCTTACTAGAGTGAAAGTTGGAAAAATAGACTGGAAGGAAGGGGGGGGAGAAAAATACACCATAGAACCTGATCATTAAAAATCTGTTGGGACACCTGGCTGACCTGGCTGACTAGGTCAGTAAAGCGTGAGACTCTTGATCTCGGAGTCATGAGTTCAAGCCCCATGTTGGGTGTGGAGATTACTTAATTAAATAAAACTTTAAAAATTTTTACTACCTGCTTATGAGACTGCTATATATGTGTATATTTCCTCAATCCTGAATTTAACACTATAGTACAAATATGGTATACTTATCACCATATATTCATATAAATGTATAAATGTATGTGTGTGTATATAGATGTGGGTATATCTACAGATACACACAGATACATACTGTGCTGGTCCATGCTTCTATACTCAACTAGTCTTTTTCCTCCTAATCATGCCATTTGACCAGATCAATCCTGCTCTAAATCCATGGGTGCTGAGCCACAACCAGACAAGTTTCAGGAATGCAGTTAGTCAAATATCTTCCAATGACTCAGCTCACAGCAGCCCTGGTTTATAGAAAGAGCACTAGGCCTGGAGTTGGCAGATTTGCACCTGAACATGGTCTCTGATACCTCCTTACCTTGGGTAAGTCACTTGACTTCTCTAAATTTTAGTTTTCCCCTCTATAAAGTGAAAATCTTACCACTTACCTTGTAGGGTTGCTGAGAGGGTTAAAAGTATAAGCTATAAAGTACAAGCCTTATGTGTCATTTGTTTTTATCCTCTGCTGGGTTCACTAGCAGCAGATAATGATTCCTATCACCTATCTAGGGGGAATAATATCCATCAGGATGCTCATGCTTGTGTGTCCTGAGACAGTGGTGGGATTAAGAGGATTCATTCTATTAGGGAGCATCTACTTTGTGCATACTAGTATGATAGGCACATAAAGACAGAGAATGCAAACAGAAAGTAGAAGACACAGTTGTCCTCAAGAAATTTACTATTTAACCTTAAAAATAAATCATGAAAATAAAAGACAGTCACAAAGCTGTGAATGCCACTCATGAATGGGTACAGAATAATGCATTATAAACTAGATAATTTGGTAGATAAGGGCCGAGAAGGGAATGGAATTAAGAAGCGATTAGCCTGGGATCTTCCTTCCCATTGGATTCATCCCACTAGTTGTCTAAGTTACTTAACTGTTGAAATGTTTTCCATCATCTTTAGATCATTTTGACATCCGTTTCGTAGCTGCTTCAATTCCATATGATGAAGGAGTTAGACCTCTTGAAAGAGATTGGTTTTGAAGGAGGGAAAGGAATGCCTGAAAAGAATGAAGAGGATACTCAGCGACAAGCAGTGGCCCAAGCACAGATGATGGTACCAGCGATAATGAAAACCCAAGCTGGATGATCCAGTAAAGGAGGAAACCC